AAATTACAAAAATTAGAATATGTTTATGCTAAGGAGCAAGTCTGGCCTAAATGGCATGGCCATAAAATATTGTTATTATAACAAAAATTTTCAAAAAGTTCATGGCCAAGTTAAGAGTCTCTAAAAATCGTAAGCACCAATTGTTCAATAGCTTTCTAATAAATTAAAATAGTTTAGAATTGCTTCTAAAATGCCTACTCGAAGTTCTCATGACCTTACTAAAGGGGAAATCATCAACTTACATTTCTTTGTTAATTTGAAAAATGCAATCCGTGTCTATAAATTATTATAAGCAATTATGAATTAATGTATTAGCGAAGCCCTTGAAATAAAACCAATTGTATAGATATAAGATTGTATTGCTGATTTATTCGCAATAGAAGCTTATAGTGCCGCTTGCTACGATTAAAATGTTCTATTTAAGGCCAAATTGAAGACTTCGATTTTATCGTGGTTTCCCCTACCATTATTTATCGTATAATTTCATGGTAATAAGATGACAAACAGATTCTAAATATAAAAAATACTATTCTCATTCATATCCATTATGCTTGGTTGTATTTGGGACTCCTTGTATCCTGCTTTTTACTGGAATATCTATTATAGTAATAGGAAAGGCGGAGCTCACCTGCCCGAACCTTGAAGCGCTGTTTGAGAAATAATGGGTATCTGTCCAGTTCTCGAGAGTGAGCATGAGGAGGTTAGGCTAGAAGAGGCAATTGATGAAATTCGTCTGGTAAATTTAGACATGCCTAACTGCGCCCCGGTGCTTTGGGGGCACACACTTGACGAGGACTTTGAAAAACTACCATCACCTGTCTTAGGTACATCTGCAGATGCGGCAGTTGCTACGATGGACATAGTGGGCATTGAGACAGGACCAATTATGGTAAGAGGAGCCGCTGGCGCCTCTAAAGGAGCACTGGGTGGAGGCGGCTGAGGAGGAGGCGGAGTAGATGAAAATGAAGGAGCACTTGGCTGGGTTTCACTTCCACGGCCATCTTTCGGTGGAAAACTGAAAGCAGGAGTTGGTGACTTCTCTCCTCCATTTTCTCGGGCATTTCCACTGCCACCTACACCACTCACAGGGCCAGTTATTACAGCCTTGCCTGCCTCATCTTCACTATCTCTATTTTCACCTATTATGGACTGCATGTTTGCACTGACCCCACCTCCGATATTTCCGCTTCCTTCTCCATTTTGGGCTCCAAGTGTGCCGGTCTGTCGCATACGGGCTGAAATGTCACCACTTGCCGAATTATTATTTGGACCCTTTAAGTGTGGTGAGAAGTGCATATTCGGACCAAAATGGCCTCCAGGAGTCATTCTTAGTCCTGAATATGACTTTGCACTTTGGACAGCAACCGGTGTTGCCCGCTGACAGCTGGGGTTCATCAAGGCCTGACGGAGGTCGCGTTGTCGTTGCAAACAGGCGTTTAAATATCTTGCTAGCATTCTAACAGACTTTGTTACATTTATTGCCTGCTGGAGACCCATCCCAGCTGCGACTCTTTTGGGATCTGGTGAGCCGTAGGCTAGACCACCGCCCGCCTCCTGTGGACCTGTAGCAGATGCTTGAACGTCCGATTCCGTGGGAACGCTTTGGTTTGCCTCTGAGGCCAACTGCATTATTCGCCGCATCTGATAGAACAATAAAATAACGATTAAGTGAAAGAATGCTTAAGACTAAAGATGGAACTTTAAAACATTGAATTCAAATTAATTTACTTAGATAACATTAAAGATAAAATTGTCAAAGTATTAAATTTTTGTATAGAAATGAAACACAAAAAAGACGAAATATTTCTGTATGTACTTTTTGAGCAATTAATCCGAAATATTCATAGGATATAGGAACAGGTTATGTGATCATGCTAGGAGGTTTGTAACAGAATGTCTAAACAATGTGTAGAAAGCCTAGTGAATTCGTTGCGATTTCATAGAAGTCCATTCCAGAAAAGAATATTTTCTTCTACAAATATGGTATCCATACTTCGTGTAACTTCATTTCTGACCTTTTAAAAAAAGTAACTATTATCAACAATAATGGCTCATCGTAGGGGTGTTAAAATTATGGGCTTATACGACCTAAAGAAATTTATTCGCCCCATTTGTAAAGATCCTCATAAAACTCATGCATCACAATTGCGCAATGTATATCCAAAATTTTATTTCGCATTTTTGCCATTTGCTAGATGCATATCAAGTATTTAGTCATAGATAACAGCATATAGTTTTCAAGCTAGATTATATAAAAATAAGCTATTTGGCTCTATTGAACCATGAAAAAAGTTAAAGTCAATCTTCCTCAGTTAAGAGGAAACAGCAATTCATAATATATTTGATTATCTGAAATTTTCCAATCAATTAATGAAAGTAATGACATTAATTTAAAAGTATACTATGCATCATGAAATATGAATAAATAATTGGGTAAATTTAAGGTTAATGACTTATTTTAATGGTTGCTGGGTGCCAATCCTATCTAAATGAGACCAAATGAAGGGTAGTTAGACTATTAAAAATTTCAACAGTAATTTATGACAATTTGATACTAGCAATATTGTATTTTAAGATAGAAGGTGAAGTTATATTTTATCCTTCTAGACCAATTCACTCAGTTATTAG